TCGAAATGGGGACCACCTAAAAGCAGGAGCTAAGCAAATAATTATAGGCTAAGTAGGTTACAACAACATACTTTTGCCCGTGGATTCCTCTCGTGAAAATAAAATAAAATATCTAAAACGTGCGTTGTTTTATGTCCTTTCAAATAGTGAAACAAGATTTTAAGTAGGTTTCAGTAACTCCTTACACAAGAAAATAGTAGCAAAAACATGTGTGGTAATTTTGTAGAATGTTGACATGTTTTTGTTGATTCTGTAGGGCAAAACACAGAGACCCGGCTTTATCATACGGTAATTTTAAAGCTTGCACAGTTTCTTAAACACCCTGTATTTATCACTCGCGTTGTTCTTTAGCAGGTGGCAGCAAGGTTCCGGTTGATTGATTAGACCCGGGCGATGTCCGGAATCCGGATGAGCCGTCTGTGCCTTTTTTATCGGAACATGGGATTTGCCGTAATGGGGACAAATTACTGTACAGTGAGACTAGGTTCTATTTGATGGTATTGCGAGAAAGCAGTTAAATGTAAGTAGTTTTGATTTCATTAACTAAATACGTAATTATATTTCTACAAGTAATCTGAGGGGCCGTCGAAAACTTTTTACTTAAATAAATATAATTTATTTAAAGTGTAAAAGTCAAAATTATTTATTTTAATAAATGTCCCATTTGTAATAGGTTTTCAGATAGGTCGCATTCAGTAGATTACGATTGGTAAAACTTCGTTTTAGAAACCTGAACAAAGAACTACGTGGTGATGATGTTAATTAGGAAAAGGAAAATACCTGGAGTAGACGTAAGCTGAAGATTTTTCCGATAACATGGCTTGAATCAAACTGATTTTCTGAGTGAAAAATATGATGCTATAGATACTTCAGATGCGAAACTAGACTGTGTATGGTTCTAAATAAATCTGTTCTGTTTTTTTGCTGTCTGTATTTGAAAAAGAGGCTGACAAAGGTGAGTGAGTTTCTTCTGCCACTAATTCTTCTCAGCATCAGCCCATATGTTGTCCTGTGGCGTAGTTAGGTAACAAAGGGCCCTGGGGCAAATAAAAAAATGGGGCCCCACTGCAATCTAAACTGGTTAGGTTTTATCAAATTTATTGACATTACTTACTTACTCCTGATACAGCCTTCAAATTTCTCTCTATTTATTTTGAAAATGGGAGAAATTTTCAAAGTTCAGTTCAATTGAGATTTTCTGGTAAGGATTCGGGGGCCCCCTGAGCTTGGGGGCCCCGGGGCACTGCCCCGCCTTGCCCCTTAGTAGCTACGCTCCTGATTTTGTCCCGAAGTGGTGGTAGGGCAAGCTATAGTGGAACGTGTATAGTGCCCAGGAAAGGACCTTAGTACTGAATAAATTAGATTAGATTTGGGTACTGAATAGATTAGATTCTAAAATAGGTCTCTGTAATATTATCTACTAAACTATGAAATAAGATAAATTAACTTCAATCTCCTAGGTTTGTTCGTTGTTATTTGTTAGATACCACGCAAAGTGTGGGCTAAGTTTCATTCAAAGACTGCCTAATTTGGCATTCATAAGAAGTTGCTTTTAAATAGCTCCAAATAAATGTTAATGTTTTTCATTCCCGCTTAAATTATGAGATCAAAGGAGTTAAAATTGCCGGTCCAGTTTTTCACAAAAAACAATACATGGAAACATTGGAGTAAAGCCCAAAGTCTGCGTTTTCTTATTAATTATTTTTATCGGTTTATTTTCTGAATATCCAGTTCTAAAATTTTGTAGGAAACGAGGCTACCCTCATAATTGGATATTACATCTTTTTGCTGTTCGCCCTAACTTTATAAAAATAAACGCTTTTAATAAATGTCCAAAAAGCAAATTGTTGCTATTTTTGTGTTATAAATCAGGAAGTTCGAAATTTATTCGGCGTTCAAAGAGTTTTTTGTAGCTCCTTCGTTAAGCTGAAGGCTTTTATGGGATAATTGAAGACAAAAATTACGTTTGTTCTACCCACATTTGTCTTTTCTTAAACTTTTTCGCTTAGCAACGTTATATTGATAAGTGGATAAACCATTGGGTAAAACAATTGTTTGCTTTGCTCGATTGAATTTGATTTCAATCTTTTCAACGAAATAAAAAGTTCAAAATCATTGCTGAAAGTATTTTTTTACGGTGGCATTTTTATTATTTTTTGTTTCAGCGGGAATATGAACTCATTCTGTGGAAATTTCAACTGTCTACCTGTTACGGTTCATGAGATACAGTCCGGTAACAGACAGCCAGATAGACAGCGAAGGCCGAGGCATAGCAATAAGGTATCTGCTAATCCCGGCTTCATATCGACCGTTATGAAACCTTGAAAAGGCAAGTTTCATTACCTAAAGTAGGTAGGTATCTACTTATCTAGCCATTTCTCAAAATTCCATTTGTCAACTGCTTTGGCACCACCTAACTTTAACGGTGACTATAATGATAACCGGTGCTTTTTGTATGGAGTTTGACAGATTTTTGACGTTTGTCAAAGTCAAAGTAAGATGGTGCAACCCAGCCTGTCATCCCATCTTCCAAGGTTGCAAGGCATTGTAGTCTGTATTGGTGAAAGAAAATGAACATTGAAATTCGTTTAAATGTAAAGGCGGCGATACACAGTCATGTCTGAAAAGGGAAACAGTAGCATTCATGCTTGCGGCATATGCAAGTAGGGAAATGTGGTTTCACTGGATTACTAATGTTTGGCCAAAAAACGTTTCCCAAATTATCACATCGCAAACAACGTTTCGCAAATTTTCATTTGGCAAATTCTCATTTGGCAAAGCAACTTATTGCAAACTTTTAATTCGCAAATGTTTTTCTTGGCATATTATTTTTTAGCAAATTATTGTTTGGCAAAGTATGGTTTGCCAAATGTTTCATTAGGCAAAAATATTTCACGATAAACTATTTACAAAATAATTTGATTGGTGCATAGAATGGTATACNAAATTTGTTTACATGTAAAGGCTTGCGGCATATGCAAGTAGGGAAATATGGTTACACTGGCATGCAACTTGCGTCCTTTCCAAGCTAATTTTCCAGCTAAAAAAATTAAATCCGAATACTTGCCAGATACAGGCATGTCAGTTGGCGACTAATTGGCGTACCTACGTGCGTACGGTAGGTACGACGTGCAAGGAAAGAACTGTGTATTTTACTTGCATGTGTATCGCCGCCTTTATACCTATGTTTATGTACCCCCTACAACATGCAACCCTTGGTCGCTTGGCTGACTCTCAGTTAGGTATTTATAGGTATTGCCTTTATAATTAAACTGTCCGTTCAAAACTTCAATAAACATTGTTAGGGGTGTTAGGTTGACTTTGTTCGTTTCATTTTAAAGGAATTGTTTTCTTTAGTAGTTTCACTAGTCTTTTTGAAACCTTAGACTTTAAACTAAATGTGGTTTACGATTATATATTTTAAATGTTCAACACTTTATTTAGCCTTTACAGATTTGAGACGATAAGTATCGCCTTCTTTTTATTAGTTTCTACAGAAATGTAAGTTATTAATGAAACGTTTTAAAAATTGGCAATTAGACTTATGGACAGGTATAATTTTTTGGAACGTGTTTTCCCTTTGCGTAGGATAAGTCATAGCTAAAAGGAAATATCAAAGGGAAATAAATTACATGTACTTCGCTATGATTTCGCTAATTACCAAGTATTACATAAATTCACAAGCGAAAGGTTTTTTTTTATCCACAACGAGGAAGCTCTTGGCCTGTATCTCACCTGATGGTAACCTGATGGTCGTGAGTTCGACTCGATATTTATAAGTCTGACAAAGTAAAAAGGATCAAAAACAATACTTGTCAAAAAAACCAAGTCTCGCAACTCAGTTGTTCTACGGTAAAAAGTTGTGAGATCCATGTAATACCAAGTCCAGGCCAGGAAATCTTTAACGTTTTACATAAATTATTGACTTGGCCATCGCACTAAATAATTTAATTTACACGTGTTTTCATGCGATGGCCAAGTCAGTATATTTATGTAAAACGTTAAAGATTTCCTGGCCTGTGTGCCTACCATGAGTTTACGTTAGGTGTGCTCGCTAGCGACTGCGTAAAAAAATGACATTTAAATGTATGACATATTGTGCAGCGCCCCTAGCGGCTACTTTCAAGAAATAAAATCTTCATAGAATTTTTTGACGTATTCGCTAGCGAGCTCACCTAACGTAAACTCATGGTAGGCACACTGGACTTGGTATTACATGGATCTCACAACTTTTTACCGTAGAACAACTGAGTTGCGAGACTTGGTTTTTTTGACAAGTATTGTTTTTGATGGGATCTCATTTCTTTTTGTATTTTGTAGACAGCAGTTATGTATCTAGAAAACTGGACCGAAATTGAAAAATTTTACTCGACTTGGCGGTTGCACTACCGTGCCCCCAAATATTTTAGTTTTTCCTTGATTCATACACCAAACACTACTTATATTCCAAATTTGAAGCTTCTAGGTCTGCTAGAAGTGCCTTAGAGTTTTGATGATCGGTGAGTCAGTGAGTGAGTCAGTGAGTGAGTGAGTCAGTCAGTGAGTGACAAAATTAAGTAACTTTGACCCGTTATAATTCTTAAACTACTGGTTCAAATTGAATGAAATTTTAAATATACCGTGTCTTTACAATGCCTGCATAGCTAATGAAAATTCAGCCTTCTAGTTTTATCCACAACGAAGTTACAGGCGGTCGAAAATGGCCTGAATTGCTTCGAGAAAAGGATGGTACGGCCGTGCCGCTTTTTTGCTCGACTTGGTGGGGGCACTGCCGTGCCCCCAGATTTTATTTTCTATCTCTTTTCTTCGTTACCAATAAATACATGGTTCTGTTATCATTCGCACCAGCATATCCAAGTTAAATAGTAGGTACCTACCTGCAAACCCGCAATATCAAAACTTATAAAGTTAAGAACTAATTAGGTGTATTAGTGTGACTCTACCACAAAAGAACTAAAAAACCGTTCTTATAACTCATAATTATAAAAAGTAAGACTTACATGCGGTGATCCGATGGATTTCCTCTCTATACTGCTGGCTTGCCTTGAAAACGAGGGTGCGTGGACACTCAAAGGTGATCCTGGCTCCGAGTCTGTTTTTCCTTCGTTACTGCTGTTCCCAGCCTCCTGCTAAAAAAATAATAATGTCGATTAGGCCAATGATATTATATAAAAACAAAAGTTCTATAATATCATTGGATTAGGCTGTATGATCTGTGACTTTTAGCTGCTCCAGTGCCTTTTCCAATGACGTAAGAAATTTTGGCGGGAATATTATTGTGTGGTCTGTTGTTTTTCTCTTGACACTGGCTCTATGCACAAACCGCTCGAAACCATATTGTAAGAAAAAAGAAAATTAAGTGGGAAATTGGCCAGTATTATATGGAAGTTTATTACTCTGTGTAATTTGGTAAAGAGGCTGCGTTAAAAAGTTTTACAAGTTAGGTACTCCGTATATTATTCTTAATCCTAAACATATAGTTTAGTCCATAATATTTGAATACGTCATTACGTTATCGTCCACCAAACTAGGTTCTAGATTTCGACAATAAATTGGCAAACTCGATGAACACACAGCAAACACTTTGGAAAATTGTACCGTGAAGGTCTTCGCTCACCAAATTTCATACCGAGATTGCGTGTAACACAATACGATTACTTGATATGACGCCATGTTGATATGAAATGATATGTTGTGTTGGCAAATGTTTTTGTCGCGTAATAATGAAAGGCGCAATGTACGGACGACAGTAAATCAAACTAAGGCTGACTTGCACCACCTTATTTTAACCATAACTGGTGTTTTTTGTCTGGAGTTTGACAGACTTTTGACGATTGTTAATTGTATTAGGTAATTTTTATTTACTTATTGCAAAAATGTCACCTATTATCATAAGTACGACGGACGATACCACGTCAATTTATTAAGTAAACACTGTGCCATATTATGTAGTTCTTTGTTAATAGAAGACATTTTCAGTGTGATGCTATAGAAATGTGTTCTAAGAAATTTCGTCTCTCTGGTAGGATGTACTTGAGCAGCGATACACAGCGACTTGGAGAACCACGCGCGTCGATAACTTCTTTTTAAAATATTTTTTTTTCTATTTTCATATGTTTTTAAGATAGATTTACCTGCAAAAACCTCGCCAGCTCCGTTTCATTGTATCTGCCAGTAGCCCGCTTCTTCGACAAGATATACTTGGGCAGCGACTTGAACCACGCGCATCGTTAACCACTTTCTTAATATTGAATTTTGCTTCTATTTTCAGATGTTTTAAGAGTAAGATGCTATAGTAGATTGCTATAATCAAGTGGCAGTGGGCGGGGCACAAAGCTCGTAGAGACGATGGCCGTTGGGGCAGGAAAGTTCTCGAGTGGCGACCACGGGCTGGAAGACGTAGCGTGGGCAGGCCTCCTTCTAGGTGGACCGACGATCTGGTAAAGGTCGCGGGTGGAGCCTGGATGCGGGCAGCGCAGGACCGTTCATTTTAGAAAACCTTGGAGGAGGCCTTTGTCCAGCAGTGGACGTCATTTGGCTGAAAAGAACGAACGAAAGAGTTAGATATTTACCTGTAAAGACCTCGCCAGCTCCGTTTCATTGTATCTGCCGGTGGCTCGTCTCTCTGGCAGGATGTACTTGGGCAGCGACTTGAAGAACCACGCGCCTGACTTCTTCCACATCTCCCTGGTCTCCGCACAGAGGTTGCACATGTACTGCTCCCGCGAGTACAAGGTTGACCTGCTCTCGTTGTGAACAGAAAGAGAAAAAATATTGGACACAATTTTTTTTTACTTTAAAAAAATCCCTTCGAAATATTTTGTAAATATTATTGGACATTACAAATTCTGTTGATTATAAAAGCTTGTATTTTAATGTCAGATAAACAAGTTATTATTTTAATATTAACTTAACATTTTTCGCGAATAACTCGGAAAAAATTGCTAAAATCTCGGAACTCTACATTTTTGTGAAGGACAAATTTCATGAAAATAAATTACATTATCACGGTCTCGGGACCAAGTAATTTTTTCTTGTTTGTAATACTGTTTGCTATCGCTTTAAAATAGCACAGAGGTTATTTTATACTTAGAAATATTATTGCTTAAACACTGTAGAGCAACACAAAATTACCGTGAAAACTTCAATACACACATCCCTGGGGATATTTAAAAAATGCTTAGGTATCCTACAATTAAATGCGATGTATGTTTGTAACTCTTTCATTTGTGTTGTTCTTTTATTGTTTACATCTGAATAACAGAACTTCAGAAGGCTATAATTTAAAATAATTTGTGAGTAACTGAATTTCAGGTGGACGAAGTCGCGAGCAAAAGCTAGTATATCATAAATATAATGACGTCATTTGTTTTGTGTAGATTAATATCTTTCTCGTATTAATAAAAGTATTTATAAAAATAATGTCCTACGAGAGCATAGAGAAGTTGTTAACATGACCTCCCATAGTGTAGACAGGAAAAACCCATTCCAAACGTTTCCAAATGTATGACACATTTTACTTGGGATTCGGGGTAATTCTATTGTTGTTGAACTTTTATGACCTTAATTAAGCTCAAACTTTAGTTTAACTTCAATTGTTTCTTTAATTACGTACTTAGTCCTGTTTATACAAACAAATAATGAGGAGCATTAAAAGAACATACAACGACTCATTTTAAAACACTTTATAAAATTTAAGTGCTATTCTCTGGCTCTTTTGCTAGATCCTTTCTACAAAGCCTGGATTTTTCTGCAACTGTGTGCAATTTAAAGATATTGTTGGGAAAATATGAAAGAAAATTGTTTCAAAATCTCCACAGACGTAAACAAATCGTGTAGGTATTTGAACAGCAACTACGAGTAGATGTATACCTTTTATTTCAAAACTTATTTGCTTTTCTCATCTTTATTTTGTAATATTTATTTCCATTATGTAGGTACATGAAACTTTAACTGATAAAGCTGTACCTACCTATGTAGTGTACATCAGAATGAGCCTATCATTTTGTTGCAATATAGCGTCAGAATCAGAATCAGAAATATTTATTTGCTTTTACATGGTCTGATACAATCACATAAGATACAATAGTTGTATCCTAATGTTACGTCGTTCAACGTAAAAGATAAGTAGGTTATTAATAAATAACTGCAAAGGCAGACCCTTGTTCGACCCTTTTTAAGGTCTGCAAGAGTTTTCCAGAGTGGGTCAGGCAGAGCAATTGAGTTGATGAAATTGTTGCGACGAATTAAGCAAAAGTGCTTTTTAATTAAAGCTTAATTTATTAAGTACGTGCCAGTACTTATTTATAACATTACGAATGAATACCAATTTAGATTTATAACACACTCATAATTAACTTCTTATTCTAGAGAATAAGATAAATCCTACAAAGGTACAATTTACACAGAGTATTTACACAGCAATTAAGCTCAATCAGGAAGCTTGAACAGTCTCGGGGGATAACTGCCTTTGAACGATTTATCGGATATTAAGTATAGGAGTTTGATGAAGTATTGACTTTTTCTCAGAAACCTAAAAGAGGACAAAGGAAAAAGAACTTTATTTCCTTTGAAATAATATTTTGATATTTCATCTTTAATCTCGACTGCACGACTCTAATTAACCAGACTACAGGCATTGGGTGGTTAGTTGAGTAGCCTAGAGCTCGCTAACCTCATATTACAAATTACTAACATTTTTTTCTTATCTCTCAGTCAAAGCTATGAGTATTGTTACATTCAAATGCACAAAAGTGAACTTTAAACACCTTAACTCCTAAATAGTTACCTGTGCGGCGGCGTGTCTATCACGCACTTGGGGCAAGCTGAGTTCCGGCAGATGGCGCAGGTCCTCAGAGGGACCAGCAGCCTGGCTGTCTCGCCGCATAGCAGGCAGGTCCTAGGGGCTGGCTTGGGCTGAACGACACCTTAACTCTTAAATACACTCAACATCAAATAAACCGCACCTTCCGCGACGCGAACTTTAAAGATTTTCTTCTGACACAATCATGGTACCCCAACAATATTGGTGTATAGTCCAATAAATATCCTTAAAGAAAAATACATTTCATTTCTAAATAAATGATTAACATATACCATAAATGTGACTTGAAAATAGACTTCACTTTGGGCTCACCTCTGGGATCAATTAGACCAATTTTTATGGTTATAAAACCAAATAAAGATCTCACGTGTCCTCTTTAACAGATGGATAGCGATTAATCCTAACCTAACAGTTTTATAGTCATAAAAATGGCTAAAGCGTAACTACCTATTTTTTGAAGAAGTGACTCTGGCTGGATCCTTGTAAAGACACATTTTTGGGGTAAAAACCTTTCTTTTAATGAAATGAAGTTTAGAACTAGGCTTTCAAATGGTACCAAAGTTGGTGGTAAGTGGGGATGCATACGTTTGATAAGTGCTTGTCGCGGGAGGTGCGATTTATTTGATGCCGAGTGTACGATTAATCCTAACCTAACAGTTTTATAGTCATAAAAAATGGCTATAGCGTAACTACCTATTTTTTGAAGAAGTGACTCTGGATCCTTGTAAAGACACATTTTTGGGGTAAAAACCTTTCTTTTAATGAAATGAAGTTTAGAACTAGGCTTTCAAATGGTACCAATGTTGGTGGGAAGTGGGGATGCATACGTTTGATAAGTGCTTGTCGCGGGAGGTGCGATTTATTTGATACCGAGTGTAGTTACCTGTGCTGCGGCGTGTCAATCACGCACTTGGGGCAGGCGGAGTTCCGGCAGATGGCGCAGGTCCTCAGAGGAGCCAGCAGCCTGCCTGTCTCGCCGCATAGCAGGCAGGTCCTAGGGGCTGGCCCTTGGGCTGAGCGACACCTTAACTCCTAAATAGTTACCTGTGCGGCGGCGTGTCAATCACGCACTTGGGGCAGGCGGAGTTCCGGCAGATGGCGCAGGTCCTCAGAGGAGCCAGCAGCCTGGCTGTCTCGCCGCATAGCAGGCAGGTCCTAGGGGCTGGCTTGGGCTGAGCGACGCCTTAACTCCTAAATAGTTACCTGTGCGGCGGCGTGTCAATCACGCACTTGGGGCAAGCTGAGTTCCGGCAGATGGCGCAGGTCCTCAGAGGGGCCAGCAGCCTGGCTGTCTCGCCGCATAGTAGGCAGGTCCTAGGGGCTGGCTTGGGCTGAACGACACCTTAACTCTTAAATACACTCAACATCAAATAAACCGCACCTTCCGCGACGCGAACTTTAAAGATTTTCTTCTGACACAATCATGGTACCCCAACAATATTGGTGTTATTTGAAAGCCCAATAAATATCCTTAAAGAAAAATACATTTCATTTCTAAATAAATGATTAACATATACCATAAATGTGACTTGAAAATAGACTTCACTTTGGGCTCACCTCTGGGATCAATTAGACCAATTTTTATGGTTATAAAACCAAATAAAGATCTCACGTGTCCTCTTTAACAGATGGATAGCGATTAATCCTAACCTAACAGTTTTATAGTCATAAAAAATGGCTATAGCGTAACTACCTATTTTTTGAAGAAGTGACTCTGGATCCTTGTAAAGACAGATTTTTGGGGTAAAAACCTTTCTTTTAATGAAATGAAGTTTAGAACTAGGCTTTCAAATGGTACCAATGTTGGTGGGAAGTGGGGATGCATACGTTTGATAAGTGCTTGTCGCGGGAGGTGCGATTTATTTGATGCCGAGTGTAGTTACCTGTGCGGCGGCGTGTCGATCACGCACTTGGGGCAAGCTGAGTTCCGGCAGATGGCGCAGGTTCTCAGAGGAGCCAGCAGCCTGGCTGTCTCGCCGCATAGTAGGCAAGTTCTGGGGGCTGGTCCTTGGGCTGAGCGACGCATGCCTATGAAGAAGAAAAAATACTTTATACTCGGGTTAGTAGGGACTGTTATGAAAAAAAAAATTCGTTAGCAGCAGCCTTTCCGAGTTTTTTAAAGAATACTGGAAACTTGGAAAGTATTGCATATTTATTTACTAATAGTTCCAAACACAGACCACAGAAATAAAGGGAGATTTTAAAAAGGAGGCGGGGCCAGTGTCGCAGCAATATGCCTAAAAACAAAACACATTGCTCGCGACAGCAATGATGGGAGCAGCGACGTTATTATGTGTACCTACTACAGTTACATTGCAAAAAAGTTTTTGAAGAACTTCTACCATGATTAATTCAGGCTGACATTTCTCAGGTTCTATGTTCTATCTAAGGAAAAGAAGCATAATTTATATTCCAATTAAAAATAAAGTGCCTCAAAGGTTTTTCAACTGTGTAATTAATCTGCACTTACTTACTCGTACTTAGTATATTTATAATCAAATCTGTTACTCGACACTTGATAAATGTGCCTCTCGACTCTAGACTAATTAGTAATCAAATCTGCCCCAATTATCCAATTAACGCGTTTCTGAGGCTCTTAAATAGTCTAAGGGTCGTATTATTCCTTAAGTTCCACTGAATTTGTTGAACGGAATTCCATTTTTTGTAACTTCATTTATTTTACTTTACGATTCTAAACCTTAGTACCAATCTTTGCGTTTTTACAGCGTCCTACAAAAGCAATTTAGATGTCTGCAATACTAATTATAAAAGAAACCTCCTTCTCAGATTCTAGGTTCAAGGGCTTAAAAGGTCATTTCATGTCGGGTCCGTCATAGTATAGTATAAGAAAGATGATAGTAAAACATCTTCACAATGATTTAACACCATAGGTTTGATCAATTTGATTTGGCAAGGTGGTCTGTATTATATCATCGACCGTCGTTCCTCCATTAAAACTTAGATGGTAATCGATTTTCCGAAAAATTTCGTTAACAAGTTTGTCAAATGACTTTCCGAAACAAAAATGTCACCTACCAAAACAACTATCCTAACTATTACGATAGAACAAAAGACTAAAATCAGGGCAAAAGCACAAGATGCATTACTGTAATGTTTTTACTACGGTCATAGCGACAGCAGTGGCGCCTAATTCCACTGGGCAGAAGGCTCATGACGTGCAAAAACTAAAATAGATCAGTGACCTTTCTGACCATGAACATAGGGAGCATAATATGTATTTGTTACTATGCCCTTGACTGTACTAACAAAACAGGCAATCTAGTTATCTCTGCGATTAGATGTGCTGTGTTTACTTATACGGCGCAACACGGTTTGATCATGAGCCATGCACGTCTATGTTTCGTCCTTCGGAGTGTTGTCCATCTACTGACCTAGGTCTATCTTTGAGTGGGATGGTAATAGGCCTCTAAACATTTCTTGTAAAGTTGTGTTTGTGAGCGCTTTGAATTCATCTTCAAGGATACTTGTGACATTGAGAATAAAGAAATTTGGATCATCATCATCAGGTCATTTAGTCTGCTCTACAGGAGCAGAATCTCTCTAATTTTCCAGAGGCAAATTTTAAACGGTTGGGTGCGGAGGTCTGATCAGTAATTTTCAGAAGAATGAGGTGGTTCTCTTCTACTCCATTGAAACCACCCGGAGAACGTATTGAGATGCAAGTAAATGGAAATCACAGAAAAGCAGGGTCTTTCCACTAAACTCACTGGTCTCTACCAGACCATATTGGGACGTACCTTCGAGTCTCGCGACGAGTCTGCCGACCCTCTTAGCTTCAACTTCTTCCAGCTTCTCCGCTCGCTTGACGACAGCAGCTATGGCTTCTCGCTCGCTGTTCGTCAAAGGAGGCTCACTTCGTGCTGCACTCCAGCCAGTACGGAGCCTGAGGACAATAATATAAATACAATTTCCATTCAGTTATGAAGGAACATCGTGTGGTCCACACAGCTTATGACCGCAGACTGTGGAGGGCACACTATCTGTGGTCGCGATCCTTATCAGTGAGGGATCGAGGAAGAAGAAGATGAAGGAGTTATTTAGCTTACCCTTACACGCTTGTAACTATTCCAAATCATAAAATTATTTTTTCTTTAGTTATATCTATTTATTTTAGTCTAATTTAACATAAAAGTAGTACAGAAAATATAAGTGCTACGTTTTTCAGTGTTTTTCAGTCGGGGACACATATGTCCCTATATGCGTTAAGGTATACATTGCCTCATATATTGAAAATAGAATACTTCGACGCCTTTATTGCAAAATAAATACAAATCACACTAAAAATACACATCAAATTTAATCAATAAGCTTCTTTTTAATATTTATGATAAGAAATTTAAAATAGATAGCATCATATCTTACGTATTTTTATATCTGATCCTCATCTCATCATAGACCTCTTTCTTGAAGTTATACCTACCTAACTAGACTGTTTGTTACAAGAACAACTTTGAATGAAGAGTCTCCGCGTTCAGAAGAGTGCGTGTAACACGGATATTTGACATGATTTTTTCGTCCTGTCCATGTTTCTTTTGAATCCCATTTATTGAGAGCCTCTACTGAGGCCATAGAGCATTGATTCTAGGTCTTCCAAGGTCTCAGCCCGTGCCATGACTACAATCGATGAATCTTAAGTGGGGGGACAGCATCCGAGAGGCTTCGCGACTTCTTCTTATTCAAAATACCGCAGTGTCTCAAGACCTTTGACTGAAAGTCTTTGACCAATGTGTGTTGGCTTGGCGGCGATGACGCACGGAACGGAGACGTGTTCCTTCACTATGGGCCTTATGAGAAGGCTCAAAGTCACCCAAAGGGTGATGAGGACGTCCGCAGGAGACTCAAAGTAACAGACATAGCCTGCATAATTACCAAACTTTCGCGGCAATGGCCAGGGCACATAGCTCGCAGAAGTGATGGCCGTTTGGGCAGAAAATATCTCGAGTGGCGCCCACGGATAGGAAGACGCAGTGTGGCAGGACTCATGTTCCTGTGCTGCTCATGTACATTCATATATACGAGCAGCACAGGAACGATTGTTGTGGAAATCCACAGGGAAGCCTCTGTCCAGCAGTAGGCACCCTTTCGTCAAGGAGAAAACCATCCTCGTTGTAACTTTTTTCAGTCATCATGACTTCTAAATTTCGTCTTTCCTGAGCGAAATTTCTGCAAGTCGATTTGAAGACAAATGATTTACAAAAAAATGTATGAATTATAAATAAAACATCAATATAAACATACAAATTATAACGAGGCAAACAATATCCTTAGTAAGAACCAAGTTGCCTTTGACGCACATAGGGACACCCGTGTCCCAATACAGATTTTTACATAATATTCATTATGCATACGAAGAAAATCGAAAATATGAAATAAAACGATAATTATACTTATTAGTGAATGTAAATCGGAAGAAAAATAATGGCCAAAAAGCTGCTAAGTAATATTAAAATATTTTTTAATTTTGACGTCTAACGAATTTTTTTTTCACGTTTTGTGCCAGTATTTTTTTACACAAGGAATCGCGTTTTTTATTATTTATAGCGCATAAACATAAAAGATAATAATAAAATTTAAGAAAATTAATCTACAAAGGGTTTAACTTAACTAGTATTACTGTAAATCGTAAAAACTATGCGGGGACAAATGTGTCCCATATGCGTGAAAGGGTTAATGAAATGGAATTGTAGTAAATAGTTTATCAGTTGCAATAGGCTTTAAAAAAATATAGTGATCTTTTCAAAGTGTTTCTAAAGAGCGTAACAGTCAGAATTTTGTTCGTAGTTTGGGAATTAAAAATCCGTAGTACTATTTGATGTAGAGTAAGTATGGATTCGAAATAAGACACGATTCCGAAGGTGCTATTGTAAGAGGACTAAAGCGCACAAATTGGATGCGAAGTCAAAGCTTTGTAATTACGAAATTCAAGAACTCTGAAATTCTCCATGTATGGTACCTACTTATTATTGTGCATTGCATTTGGTGTAAAACCAAATCATTTTTTTTATTAATAATAATTAAATGCCTTTTGTAATTAAGTATGTACCGAAACTGAAAGGATGATGTTTATTAATACCGCCAGACCCTCATTTTGCTATTTCAAAGGTAACGAACAAAGTTTTGCAATTTTGTATTCACTTTCAAATAAGCCTTTGACCCTTTGCTATTAAAATCCCAACTAATATTATAAATGCGAAAGTAACTCTGTCTGTCTGTCTGTCTGTCTGTTACGCTTTCCCGCTTAAACCTCGCAACCGATTTTGATGAAATTTGGCATAGAGATAGTTTGAGTCCCGGGAAAGAACATAGGATAGTTTTTATCACGGTTTTTGAAACAGGGACGCGCGCGATAAAGTTTTTCTGTGACAGACAAAATTCCACGCGGGCGAAGCCGCGGGCGGAAAGCTAGTTCTAAAATATACAAATAATTCCAAGTTCGAACCTTGGACCTTAATTTAAGAAAATCACCCTAGCTACAGAGGCACAAAGATCATAAGTGCCACCAGTGGTCAAAATTAAATAAAATATTTTTGATTTTGAAGAAGCCGGTTTATTGCGATGTCCTTGAAAATAACTATTACACAATTAAAGCAAGAATTATACACGAAGTGTTATTAAGATACTAGCTTTCCGCCCGCGGCTTCGCCCACGTGGAATTTTGTCTGTCACAGATAAAAACTTTAACGCGCGCGTCCCTGTTTTAAAAACCGGGATAAAAACTATACTATGCTCTTTTCCGGGACTCAAACTATCTCTATGCCAAATTTCATCAAAAAAGCAAGACATACAGACAGACAGAGTTACTTTCGCATTTATAATATTAGTATAGATATATGTATTTAAGGCTTTATATCCTAAGGCTTCAATTATATGTATATGACTAATACCCTACGATGTTTATTCTTGCCTCCGTCTTGAGTGCTAGAACGTTCGCAATAAAGGACCTCTTAAGTAGGGATTTTATGAAGTACCTAGACTGGAAATGTACTTTATTGACTTGAACTGTATACATAGCGAGTTGTATGTGTTCAGAGAAATCTATGGCTGCCTATACCAGGGTTATGGACCTTAGAAATTTCTCTCGTAATGAAACTCTATGTATTGTAATTATTATGGTTACAACATTTTACCTTCTCGTATGATTTTCTGAAGAATTCTTTCTGTAGATGTTTGCTGTGTTTTATTTTTAAATATAAATAGTTACACATGAGTTACACCTATTTCTAAAAAGTGTTACCGGCCAGTATAATAGACCCATGATTGTAGACTTATAGTTGCCCTCTTGAATCTTATTGCTAAGAGCAGTAAGTTGAAGGTTGAGTAAGGAATCCAATTTAATAGACTACAATAGGGGAAAGCCAAGGCGTTTTCTACAGGATTCAAGCACAGCCTTCTTGAGGTGACTGCGAGTATGAGATTGTTGTCAAGCTTAAATTAGCTTTTATCTACAACACAATACGTAACTTGTTTTGACGAGTGGAAGAATAGTCTTAGGTACAAGTAGGTACTTTGATATGGCTCCTAAACATGTCCTCGTCCCAATGATTTTCAGTCTATCACTGAAACTCTTTGTCATAATATTAACCCTATTCAAAATCACGGATATAAATCCATTCTGAAACAATCACGATTTCATAACCAAAATTGGCTTTGAATTGTATTGGTGTAATTACTGTTGGTGAACCAAATAAATAAAATAAAATAAAATAATGAAAACCCAAACCCAATTGTTTTCAGTTAACTGAACTTTCCATTTTGTTGCTTTGAAGCTAATACATTTTAAAGTTCGTTCATCCATACAAAAAAGTAGGTACACAGATTGATTCTTGATTAAGGAAATCGTCAATAAAATTCGATACTCAACTAAACAAGTCCTTTTATTTGGAGATTTCGTAGCAAAATTTGTTTATCAGCATCTAACGTAGTTTCAAGGACTGCTCTCTCCTTGTACAGCCACGAGCACAAAAGTGTATAAACTGTGTAATTTATTCAGCTGTATTAAGGTTTAAATTCCAATGAAAGTGTACACATATTTTTGCACACCCTGTATACAAGCCAGTGGGGACCCTCGCCGGGGGTCCGTACAAAGACGGGCTTGTTGTGGTAATTACGTTGCTAGTGTGAATGTCCTTGCGAGTCAAGGGCGAAATAATATTGTGGGTATTATTTTTATGGGGAAATGTTCGGCGAAACCTTTCGGGACTTTTCCTATTGTCCAGCGGCGGGAGTATGTTTGATGTAGTACCTACTTAGCTACATGCTTTCCTGAAAAGATTTTTGAAGAAAATAATTTAGTTTTATAAACGGATGTTGTGGCCGCCTCAATCTGTAATTGAAAGTGAGTTACATATTTATATTTATCGTCATAAATTTTCCCAGAAACGACCTTATTTAATTAAATTAACTATGTAATTAGTTTGTAGACACAAGGAAGAAAGGTTATGTATGTAAAATGAACCAATATTTCATTTTCAGGGCAATATGTTTCATTTTGAAAAAAAAAATGTCTGAAAAACATCAGGAGTTACAAGATTTAAACGGATGGATTGGGATTTTAGGATGGATTAAATCCACAAATAGACATTGAAAGAAATCAACAAACTTTCAGTTAAAATGCTTCATAACGGTTTTCAAGACCAATCAAAGAGCTCTAACATTAAATTATTAGGTACACTTATAAGTACTTTGTACAATGAAGGACTTGGATATGTCTCACTTAAAATAAAGCCTCCGAGTCATTCACCCCACAAAATCCAGCGATGTGATTGCACTCATTACGATCTTATCGAGCCGACCTTGCGAGAACTTGCATCAAATATCGCTCTCGTTGAAGCACCGATTAGTGATACAGCGGTGATATTTAAACGTTCTAATAACATTTCTGACACTTGCACATTATTATCTACCCTACGGATTACGATATCGGCTTTCAATCAATAGGTACGTGTGGAAAGCATCAACCATGTAGGTGAGTGAGGACATAACTTTCATGTTAATGTATGACTTTTATGTTACCAAAATACATTTTACTTTTAAATGTTGTAATTAACTTCTTTTAGCAGTCTAGGTATGTATTGTTAAACATAGCATAGGTATAATGAGCTCGATCCCACTATTGTATCGGAAGAAGCAAGTTACTGCTGCTGCTTCAGTATTTTTAAGTACCGGATCTCCTATCCTGTCGTTGTTATTACCAGCATTAAAAAAACCTCATTAGGCAGCTCTTCATATTCTGGTTCAATCCCATTCCCTATATCCTTTCATAAAAAAAACATCATTTTTACTAATTTTGAGTACTCTATTTAGGAATATAAGATAACTCTTTAGTAGACCTAGACAGTCTTTAGTACGGTCTGCTTCCTCAAGTCGAAAGACCAATGCTCAGACCACTAGACAACAGCGTTCCTTTCTTCCCGTTAAAACGCTTCTCGGCATTCCAGCCACCTTTTTAACTATCAAAGTCTTATTCAAGCCTCTTATAACTTGATACCGATTTTCCATTATCAGTATCATATCCTGACAAAGACATACGTTCTAGAACTTGGTAGGTTCGGTCAAACACCCCTCATCCCATTACAGCGGCGTAAATGAGGAGAGATAATGTCGTCACGTGTCAACTGTCATCCGACTCCGACGAGGTCGGCGCGACACCCGATCTTGATGTATTAGAAGGGTACATGAATAATCGGGGGTAACTCATATTTTGAGAAGGTTTTGCGATAAATCAGGCTTTCCTACCAACATTTGTCACCTGGGGTCTCTAAATCAGTAAATTCTAACAAAAAAGCCTGAAGCGAGCCCTTTCAAACTTTTTGCAGTTCTTTTATTGCTATGGACAAAGTCGTGTCAAGCTAAATACCTCAGCTTTTCCTGATGAACTTTATTATGTTCTATATGTGTGCTTAACATCTTATTTACACCTAATGGGTGGTATTACGCTGACTCTACAATAAAAATTATCTACCTAACTATTTCATATTGCGGGTCATCAATATCAAGAGCACTTAAGAGGCGTATTTTGTCTAAAAGTTTTCATGAGAGAAAATTCAGTTTAATAAAAAAATTCAAGGCATTTCACAAACAATATACCTACGAGTACCTAACTCCAATAACACCGTTCAAATATTCCTAAGCCACCCTTAGCTCAGACGTCTACACAAATAGCAATTTCAAATACGGCCCAATGTCACTTATTTACAAATGATTTTGCACAAATGTAGTCTGGTTACTTCACTGCATTTAATATGCTCGGAAAGGGTAGGTACAGTCAACAACATTATTAGACGATACTGTATTGTAAAATAGCTCTTATTGCACCTACTTAGATGGCCTGTTTGATGTCTGTACAACCGCAGACATGATGTGACCTTTTAACAATTGCCTATTTATAATGGCAACTACTTAACTAGCCTACTCAGCTAATTAGTATGTTCAGATTTATTTAATGTAGAGCGTAAGTAAACATAACATTCAGAATATTATCACTAAACGATTTTTCAGCCTACATTTCGCATTTATCAAGCACTAACGTTACTACGCCAGCTTATCAACTTGACTACAAAATTTCCTCAATATATTGTGAACATTATCTGAAAGCCACAGAGTTCAAATCCATTGGGCAAACTTTTAATCGTGGAAGTTTGTTCGTGACTGTACAAGCTTTACTGAAATGGGGCCGTTCAAGTATTACGTAAGCAGATTTCTTACCATTTTTTACCCCCCCGCCCCCCTTGTCATCAAAAGTAAGCAAAGCACTTACCCCCTCCCCCTATGCTTACGTAAACATTTTGTTATAAATGTTTTTTATATTGTAATTTTTAAAATAGGAAAATTCATGAAAANTTGACGTTTCAACCGTAAAAGGTACAGTTGTCAACACAATATAATACTCATTTTTGTTGTAAAATCGCACCTATTGATAGAGTTGCAATAGTGGGGTAAGCCGCCCTGTTTTGTTAATCTAGTAATTTAATTTATATACGGTTAGAAACCTACTATAGTTTGAATAATTCTTACAGGGGATAGTGCCTGTGTTCAGGCAAGAAGACTGAGTACATTTGCTAATTACATAGAAGAATAATACAGAAAGATGTCTTATTAACGATAAAAAGATGTCAAAGGTGGTCCTTAAGTTAATGGAAGCTAAAAATCCTAGAGACAATCAAGATAGATATTAATAGTCCTTGTTGTATCACTAACAGGTAGAGTTCGTCTAGCTCATAATAATATAGTAGAGTAACCTATCATAAATAATGTTTTCTACGGTTTACTTTATTCTAACGCGCAATGGAAGTCAGCGGCATAGAGGAAGCGGATGTCACATAAACAGAGATAGTGAGTGTCCCCTGCAAGGCCGATGGCTGAATAATCCGTATGCCGCAGCCTTGTTGGTATTTTTAGAAAAAAAAACCCGAGTTTTCCTTTTCACAGGAGTTCAACGCGATGGCATTGGACAAATTTAGTCAAAAAGCTGAAATAAATAACTTTAATCGATGTCGAGTACTGAAATACAAATGTAGAGACATAATCGGGCTAAGATGATTCTGTAATTAAGTTTTTTTTTACCTTGTTAAAATATGATTTTCCTTCTTTGAATATCGTAAAAAATTATGTAACTAGGTATTGTTTTTAAACATCCTGAGGCAAATTTACCTATTATGTAGAGTCAGAAAATACTGCGTACTGATTTTCTTTTCATTGAAAACGACATAAAAGTAATTAGATCCTTTTAGCGGATAAGGAAAGACACAAAAATGCGTTTTCTATCCACACACTTTTTTCAAGTAAAATTATAAACACAAAGTGGTGATGTTAAACACGCTATGTATTATTTTATAATAATATTGGTACAAATACAGGGAAGGAGGTACCTGAACTTTGCTAGGTTTTTGCCGTTTGTTAGTCGTATACCTCGAAATCAAAAAATCCTTGTAGCTTTTTTAACCTAAGTATTCGCATTTCATCGTGATGGTGATAGCGTTTTTTGTTGTAGCGTGTAATATCGGTAGTAAGTATATTTTATTACTAGCATATATTTTTAACAGATTTTTACAATTTTGATGTAGCATGTATTATCAATAGCCTATTTATTAAGCCTACAGGCAGGAAAGTAAATCTACTATGAATTTTTAGACAGTTGTAATTAGCGATCAAAAATCATACTAGTTACAAGAATAAAAATCTATTCAGAAATTTTGATATCGCGGCGAAATGCGAATAGGTGAAAAGCTACAAGGATTTTTTGATTTCGAGGTATACGACTAACAAACGATTTTATTATTTATTATGTTGTTAAGTATTTAGTTAATTACTTAAATAATTTTATTTTACAAAACGGTTCGAGCGACAATTAAAACTTGTTTACAAATTATTACGTGCAAAATCGCTGTATTTTTTAAAAGCAAAATCAGCTTCTAATTTTATGCAGCAGAGTAAATTCAAGTTTAAAAATAAGTTAAAAAAAATTTTTACTAATACTGAAATGTTTTTATCGAGATCAAAGTCCAAACAAAAACAAACTAATTTCCAAAGTTTTTCTTCGTAAATTACTTACTTGGCACGCAGAGATAACTGCCGGTCATTAGGGCACACATACTTGTTAGCTTTACTTTGACAGTTCATTGTGCATTCGAAATTCGAAAATTTAAAACACAAAAGTCAACAAGAGCGCGGGAAATGAACCGCCGCGCGTTCCCGCCTGTTGATTCCTTCCAACTGTTGCTTCGCGCGTGGCGAGATCTCGTAATCGATATTTTAACATCGCTCTTGAAAACAGCTACAATATGGTTGCAAATCCCGGCGTTTTTATCAGATATTACATACATAGTAATAAGTTTGTACACACTTTATGGTGCATCATATGTTTAGATGTACCTTTTAGTAGCAAATTACCTAATTCTTAAGTCAAGAGTAACTTAAGAATCTTTAGAATAAAGAAGAAAGAAAGTACCTACCTGAAATAAATGAAAATAGTAAAACTCTATCGGAACATACTTTATGAAGCATTTCATGATACTTACCTATTTTAATTAATGATGCTTATCTGTAAGTAATGTAGGGTACCTAGGTAAATCCATAGGTAAATCACAAAATGTTTGAATTCAGAAGTTTCAGTCACAGGAAGTGACGTTAATCTAAACGGAAATTGAGTTTTAACTGTAAAGTGAAGTTGGGTCACTATTTGCATTTTGGATACGCAGAAAGCATAACTATTAAAATTTACCTTTTTTATGATTCTACAAAAATATTTTTTACAATGTGTTTGGTTTAAAACTGTTTAAAACGATAATGGGATTACTTTTTTTATTTAGCAAATTAATAATGTTCAATATTTTTTAAAGAAATCAAAAAACCAGAATATTAGAACTAAAAAAGTTTTTAGTTTTAGACAATCTTTGAATGTGTATCCGAACACTAAAGCGGGACAAAGTATTGACATCTTTATCAGTTGCTTGTCAACACAACTAGTGATGATAACATAATAACATATCGTTATTTTTTTTTAAAACAATGCAAATGCGTTTGATATCAATTGTAAATAATATAAATTAAAACAATATTATTAAGTGATTGAAAGAACTTTTTTAATCTGCTCTAAATGGGTAGGAAAAGATGAAAATGATTAAATAAAAATTACTAATCCTATTAAATAAAATTATCAATATGTGCGAATTAATCAATGTCAATTTTATGAACGTTAACATGAAAATATTCATAAAACCAGCCACTACCTTCAAGCATTAATTCAATTTTATTGTAATCATGACATAATGATTAATAAAAAAAAAACACTTTCAATAAGCACTTACACGTGAGAAAAACGGATTAGAAAATGGTTTCTTGTGTATTTCTAAAAACAACTCTCAGTGACAGTGATCTATTAGTTGGGATGGAGTAACTTCAAATAGCTATTAATTTGCATCAATAAACATTATTTTGTAGATAAAAATATGTTGTAATTAAGATGACATGATCGCTTTTGGTTATTAACTGTTTTTTTTGTTTTTTTATTTTTTCATTAATTTTAATTTGAGACCCAAAATTGAGATATTGAATAAAAATAACGGTAACGTTACTTTTACGATTCGTTACCCACACGCAAAGCACAACCCTACGGGTAAGGAATTTGACATTTCACTTTTCAGTAATAATGGCGCACTTGCGAAAGGTGGATACTTTTCTGTAAATCTTTATTTTGTGTTGTGTGGTGAAGTGAAAACAAGGAATTTTAATGCCGTACCGCAGGCGCTTCTCCGCCAAGATGCCAGATTACGACGACGACGTAACTGTTGTCGATGTGTATGATTTGGCATCGGACATTGGCAAGGAATGTGAAATAATAATTGAAAAATACGGCCCTGACGCTGTAACAGCGTTGCTGCCTAAAGTGATTAATGCTTTGGAGCTACTGGAGAACCTTGCTGTGCGGAACGAGAAGGAAAACCAGGCGCTGCAGGAGCTGACGGCGAAGATTTCTCAGTTGGAAAATGACAAGATTGAGAAGGCCGAGTACAGGCAGCGTTTCGAGAAGGTAGGTGGTTAAGGTCATTGTTGATTGAATTTACGCGTGCAGCAGAATTGAACGCACGGAACGCTAGTTTCGACACCTGTATACTGGATGTAGTTGCAAAAGTTAGTGGCGCTGCGGTGTGTTGCGCGACATTGACATCAGAGTAGCTGCCGTCGAAATGTTAATTACCCTGTATTACTCACTAGAATTTCCATTTTTATCCATATTATGCTGGTAGCTCAGGCATAGGTTGCTATGAATGTGGCGTAGATAGCCCTCATGATAGAAGATGGTGATTGACATCCATGTTGTGACAATATTTGCAATCAGCTGATGAAGATTTCATCAGACTGGTTGCGCTGATATGATCGTCTTGTGTATTGTGAAAGCTGTGGGTTTTGGTTCTGCCTTCTAGAAGTAAGTTTCAAATTATTTACTCAATATTTGTTTGAATAAGTTGTCAGCGTTCAGCTGTAAATTTATTCGTGATTATGATTCATTTTACTTAACTGGTGATTCAGATTTAAGACTAAATATTTGGAATAACATTATTTTATGATTTATAAGATTAGATATCTGACGAGGGATTTTTATTATCTTTCTGTTTTTGGTACAATCCAATAATCTAGATCTACTAAGACATTTTCATTGTTCAAATCAATCATTATGTTTCTTATGTATGTAATAACACACATGTTTGCAGCATCATTAGTTTAAAAAATAATTGTATTTTTGTGTTTAAAAAGTACCACAAAAATACCACAAATTATTACTATAGAAAATCATTACACTGCCAAATTAGTGATAACATTTCTCATAATGACTATCAAGGCAAATGTTCAGTGATTGTTATGACATGGATGTTTACTGAATCACTGTTTGATAAGATTCTGATATTATTTTATTAAACTTGTTATCATTTAAATTTTGCCTAAATGAGGCTTTTCTCACTTTTTATCAGAGCAGCTTTTGTTTATATTTGATTGATCACAAATAAATCCCTTCCTCCAATGATGGCTGATTTGGCCTCATATTTTACCAAAGTATGGAGTAATATTACCTAATTCCTTTAGTATAAAGTGGCTCCATCTGTCTATGTTTAGATACAAAACCAGTAGGTGTTGATCATCTCAGTTCCTACAAAATGTAAACTCACTCTTATTAGTACCCTAAATGGTGATTTACACAAGAGACAATGGTAATAACTTTAAAAGTGGTCTTTATGATCTAAAGTTATTCAACCATTAAAATAATTTAGCTCTATTTCAGTCTTTTTATTTCACTTAGGGCTGATTTTTCAATCATCGGATAACTTTTAACTGAAGAATAAGTTTGGCATATTGACAGTTTCAGTATGGGGAATATGTCAAAATGACAAGTTTATTCCTCAGTTAAAAGTTATCTGATGATTGAAAAAACGGCCCTTAGGGCTGCATTTTCAATCGTAAGATATCTTTTATCTGAAGAATAAACTTGTCATTTTGACATATTTCCCATACTGAAACTGTCAATGTGTCAACTTATTCTTCAGTTAAAAATTATCTGACGATTGAAAAATCAGCCCTTAGAGTTTAGAGCTTAAATTAAACATTCATAAGTTTAGTCTAAGACCACAATAATTACTATAATCTATTAGAAGGCAGCTCCATTATATCATAAATAAGAGATTGTTGTAATCTCATGACCAATCAACTTTCACCATTGCCGATAGCAAATATTATTCAATTTTTGTTACTAGCTCATGACTTTCACTCTTCTTATTGTTAAATATTATAAATACTATTTCAGAGGCCATTGTACTCATTCATTAGTTCTATGTAAAAACAAAATGCACATTATGCAATCATTTCTATTAGAAGTGTTCAATACATTTGAACAGAGAATCCAAGAATTTAGTATGTGTATTCTTTAAAATCATAACACAATACATGCATACAGAACAATCTAATACAGCACACATTCATAAATGATGTGCATTCATTCATTCATCGCTATAAAATGCAATTCTCAGTGCATTGTGTTTCTCAATAGGGTGATTGCTTGTATCCTTTGGTTTTTGTGCTAAGTCTACTCTTAGATTTATTGATTGCACTCTATGAACGCGCTACTCTACCGACAGATCAAGATAAGTTTAAGTGGTGTTAACATGTCGTGCCGAATTTTTATGTCAATTTTGATAGATTCAATATTGTCTGTAGAAAATTAAAACTAGGTACCTATGTATTTAACTCTTACACCCGCCAAAAAACGGCGCTGAGTTAGGTCTTTTTCGAGGGTGTTGATTTAGGCAAGGATACTCCTTCACAACTCTTGTCCATTATCAATCACTAGCTGTGCCCGCGACTTCGTTCGCGCAAAACCCATTTTTGCATCATTTTTCATTGTTGCTCTGCTCCTATTACTCGTATCGTGATGGTTAAATAAATAGCCTATAGCCTTCCTCGATAAATGAGCTTTCTAACACTGAAAGAATGTTTCAAATCGGACCAGTAGTTCCTGAGATTAGCGCGTTCAAGTAAACAAACAAACTCTTCAGCTTTATAATATTAGTATAGATTACACCTGATAAGTGGTCTGCCAAACTGCAAAAGGCAACAGAGCCATGTGTTAAGTGCAGGTCTATTGCAGAAGTTGCCAAACATTTTTTTTTTACATTAAAATATCAAAGAAATGAATGAGTACCCTTATCATCTATCTACTAAATGTATCATAAATTTCGGCAGATACGACGTCACCTCTCACTGAATGACCTCGCAATGGTAGTTGCCATTAGTTTGTACTCTAACTCTCTATGACGTAAGTGAATTCACTTAGGTCGCACAGAGTTAGGTGGATCTCCGTTGTTGGAACATAGAGCATGTAGCAACTTCTGGCCTAAGCAAGTAAAGAGCGAGACGCCAATCTTCTTGGAGAGATCAGTAGATTCCATAGTGCTATCATAATCTTAGCTACCCCTCTTGCTTGATAGTCTTTTTCATTCACATAAATGGGTTTCTTTAATATTAGTGTACAAAAATAGTCTTTGCTATTGCTTAGTTAGAAGATTGTACACCAGTACAGTACATTGTATAAAATGAATTAATTGCATTTGCATGTTCATCGTCGAACTAAAGTTAATCGTGTGCAAGTTATAATACGATATAATTTAGTTTGTAACTCTATGATGATTTGTTGTAATTATTGGTTTGGTATGCTCTGAGTAATAAAAACATACGGTGGAAATATATCATATGTTAGACGCGCATTTCATTTGTGTAATATTGTGATTATTCACGAGTATCTGGCGGAACTGGTAGGACAGCTTCGACAATAGTCAAAGGTGTAATCCTAAGTCATTGGCCGTAAGGTTCAAAATCATACGGCAACTCTTCCAGGATGACTGTATGTTATTGGTTCTAGACATGCATTCGTTTCGGTGTCCGCTACGACTTCAGCCTGATGACGCGGTCTTCGTGACGTGTCGCTTAGTGAAATGAGTGCCTAAGTAATCAAACTAAAGTCGCAATTTGTTTTTCGTACCATCTTTGAGGCTAACCTTTTATAGGTAGGTCGTAAGTATACAGTTGTGACGTACCACCACTCGTAAATTAAACCAATTGGCTAATATGGGTTCTTACAAGTGACGTCATAATTATATCTCCTTCGCAAAGTAATCAATTTGAAACCCATCAGCTCTTCAGTTTGTCTCTCGACATTTCCTTATCAATAGCACCCAGTAATTCTGTCACGCTTGCTCAAGTAAACGCATTATGGTCTCGTTGGAACGAATTCAATAAGCAGTCTGCAATGCGCTGCCGGTTTGAAATTTCCTTCACTAATTTAACCGACGCTACTTTGGGAATATTTGAAATTGTTAGCTCAATTTCGAAATGAAATTCTCCACGGAAAACAAGCAATCCAGTGACGTGGGCTTGGCAAATCAACCTGCATTGATTTATTGGGTCCCTTGGGGCGCGTATTGGAAAAGCAATTTCTATTCAGGCGTGTTCTCAGTCGATAGGTTTTTTATTTAATAGATGCACCTATTCAATTAGAGTAATTGGCAATACTAGAAGAGATTTCACTGCTGCATAGTTTTTTGTCTAGAAGTGGGGTAGGTGTTTTTGCCGTTCGAATACAGAGCTAGCCTGTCGTAATTTTGCATGGTATGTAATGAAGATAAATAGTTGAGTGCTTCCAGAACTCAAATCAAGATTTAAGAAACACAAAATTCCTAAGCTAAATTACATTACAAGACGCAATACGCGGGTGTCACTTACGTCTTCTTTACCCATGAAGTAGATTGAATTGCGTTGAAACGGCAACACCGAACGACTGTTACTTTCGCCTTATCAATGAGTTGTTTACATTTTTTCCCTTTTTCAAATTTCTCAATGGATTGAGTATACTAGCCATTGCCACCTACTTGCTAAAGAGAGCAGATCATTGCATTCACATTCAATCTCAACAGTTTAATGAAACAATGGTTTCATCGTATGTTACATTACATTAAGCACTTGACTAATAAAATAATGTTTGTTTCGAGTAAATTAACATAAAATATTTGCTTGATTGAAATGTTTTCAAGTTCTGGCTTAAATATGTATGTGACTCATCTTTTATTTTAAATTCTGTTTATTTTATGTTCGTGCTTAGAAGAAAAGTTTTGTTTGTACAAAGAAAATTCGCCAAAATTTTATAATGTCTTAAGGTTTTCTGCGGTATGCCTAATATTAAACAATTTGCCCTTCGCAAGTCGTCTGTAAAACGTTTTAATATAAAGCGGAATATCTAAACGAAATATCCCGACCACAAAAATCCTGAGCCGTCATTCTTTATAGGATTTGTAATATTCCGCCGTAAATATTTGATATTTCGTACAGCTTATGTTGGCTTACCTTTTTACGGATAAGTTGTAAACCAGATATCTTCTAGTTCCTTAGATTCCATTTTTATATTCATCCGCATTTTCTTCACCCATTTTATTGCTCTTTGGATTATGCTTACGTACAGATGACAGCACATCGAGATAAAGACTGAAGTCTCTTATTCCGTTGTGATAGCGGCGAATTTGCATCAGAAATGTATTGTGATGTGCTGTCGTCTGTACAAGGTTTAGAAGGCTTTCTCGTCGGCCCTTTCGTTGGGATGTAGGACCCAAACCATCAATCGCCTGTTTAGTGTCGTCATGAATCACGGAGACTTCCAATTTGAGCGTTGTCCCTTGTCTTATAGGACCGATGTGCCAGCAAGGGTCATAGTTTGTGGCATTTGTCAGCCCCAAAATGTGTGCATTCCGAGAATTTTGGAAGAAGAGGAATTCGCCATCTCTGACGATTGGAATTCCGTTCGCATACAAGTTTGAAATATTCTGCTTGTTTTGGGTACTTTTTAAGTTATTCCGCAGTAAACCTAGTGGTACAAGTTGTTCTTTATTTAAGATTGGGTTTTCTAACAAGCTATCTTTAGCTAGCTGACCTGTCATTCCGTAATACAAAGATTGAGGTCGCACTGTTTTAGGTTCTTCCATATTCGTAGTTTTCTTGATATTACAATATCTGCAAATTTTAGGCAGCCATTGGAATGTTGTACATTCCTTCCTTGCAATGCTTTGTGAAACTACTAATTTTGTTTTTTCTTTATTTGCACACACAAGTTATTAAGTTATTCTAAGTAATCACAGCAAATACTATAAATAACGGCTTAATGTGAATATCGTTTTTGTTTTCTTTCCTCACATTTAATCTGTTTTTACGACGCTTAGATATAAAATTGTTATATTAGGATTTAGGTTAATACACCGATAACGCTTCAAACAAATGCAGGAAATCTACATTTATTTGGTCTGTATTTATTATTTTCCGCGAGCACTTGTATTTGTTGTAGTCATGGTATCTCCCTGACACAAATATTTATCTAAGTTATGCAGATATGCAGTCACATTGATGCAGGATTCACCTTCTCGTTATCACGAAAACGCATATTGATGAAGCAAACAACCACTAAGGCATTGTTGGGAAAAGGTCGATAAATTACCCAAAGAATTAGCATACGCAAATTAGCTGATGTTACGTGGACCATAACTAATGCGCTTCTAGTACAGCCAGCATCAAATAGTTTGTGACACCCAAAGCACAACCTTATTCCGACGTGATGCGAACTTTTTGGCTACTTTGGATGTCGCGAACTATTTGACGCTGACTGTATTAGGTACCATGCCATTCAAATTCATGTTTTGTTGTCCAGGAAATAGAGGCCATCGAGGAGCAGTGGCGGACAGAATCTGCGGAGCTGGTGACGGCTGTTGGGCGACTCCAAGATGAAAACAAGCGTCTCAGGCGGACCATCAATGCTCCTGCCGATGGTAAATTGAACACCTTGCACTTTGTTTGGCATGATTTTGCTTGAACTGTAAATATTCTGCTTGGTATTAAAATTACTGAAGAGTACGAACAGGAATTCAACGATTCTGCTTTTTCCTTTGGTTCAGGAAGTTGAAGTTTTCTTTCATCCTGTCTTTATGAATACAGAAAAGCCGGCACCCGAAGAAATTTTATTAATGATATTACCGTGTACAAATGCAGGTTTAAAAATATTAGCACAGTTGCTATTTCGTTTAGTCTTATTGTTTACAATGCTACATATTGCTGTTGATCATGACCTTGATATTATTTTGAATCAATTTATGCAAAACGGCGTGTTAACTAACATTGTTTAATTGTTATCAGCAGTAGTTGAATAATAATTTGACAGGTAACAACTGTCCACATTCAATTAAGAATCAAGAAAATATTGTTGACAAAATGCTAATTCATATTTGACTTGTGTGTTACTTTGGGACATCCGTTCTCTCTCTTGCTTGCCATACCATGAAGCTCCATTATAATGTCCATTGTGTGGACAAAACAAGTGTATTATTTTTGTCTGTTATCATAATATGAAGATAGCTTTATATTTCCAGCAGAGATCTTTTGTTCCTTCGAGTATTCTCTTGATAATGTCACTCAAAGAGTCTCCCCGAAGCGATGTTATTTCTGGCGTGGGTAATAATTCTAAAGTCGATTATAAGTAAGTCGCCCACGGCGCTTTTCCCATTGATTTATTTATAGCGACGTCATTAACTGATGAAATGGAATGGAACAGAAATGATGGGATATTCTAATCCGTCCGTTCGATCTTGTATTTTGTTTTGCAAATGCGCCGCCGTCTTGCAGCTGTATAATCGTGGAGAAACAAGTGAGCGTCTGCTAGGAAGATGTTTTTCTCTAAACTGGACTATTCCCATATCTCGTTCCCATTGCTTCAACTCCTTTGTAGCCAGAATCGCCAATAAAAACCCAACCAATGAAGGGGACGTTTGTCCCGAGGAAAGTTAAATTGTAGTTGGACCCGTAAACAAATGTTTCTCTGGTCGCCTGTCACGTATAGGCAATTTTTCTTACAATAAACCGAATAACATTGACTGACACCGAACTGTCTTTCTCAAAGTAATATGAATGAACTTATCTTTAATTGCATTTAATTTTGAACACACTGAAACAGTTCATTCTCTGTTTGAGTCGATTTAATGTACTATATTTATAAAACTGCTAGTTTCATTTTTCGCGGACTGTATAGTATGATATTATGACATCCCAAGGACATAATATTACACCTGATTTTGAATTCCGAGCGATGGGGTCATTCACACGAAGAAGTGAACGTAATCTGCAGTGACCTACATGTGGTACAGACGACAGAGTTTCAAGCTAAGCCTGTGGCGACTTAATGTAGATGTAATAAGGGTGAATTTGCTACAAAAATGTATAATTTGATGTGCCCTCGTCTGTACATTTCGTTTCTTTCACAAAGTACCATTTCAGTTGTGATAGGATTAGGCTTCGTAGATTGTTGGATTACATTATTATCAGCTTATTATAACCACACCTACGTCAGCCTACGTGTTTATGTTAATGCTATTATTTGTGGCAGACGTTATTTTAAGATAATAATGTGATAATCAGATTAAGCATATTACAAATGCCTAATTGATATGTATCTTTCACACTTGCTAAAATTCCAAAGATAGTGTAAGATACAAATGTTCGTCTCAATCTCTTCACTCACATCAGTCACATCACACCCTCTCACTCTTCGATTAGTTGTATAATATTCATGTAAAGACGACGCCTCGTTAAATTAAAGATTGGGGCATCCTAATAATTGGATTTCCACTCGTAACAAGCATACTTAGCTTACCACGAGGGGTTAACGGGATTATTAGTTATTTGTATTTACAAATTGCTAGTATTCTTTGAAAAAAATCGTGTCATGTCGTTACAATAACTGCTATTCTTAGTCTTTGCTTAGTCTTATCTGCTGTACCTGGAGAGCTAAACACTATAGCATCTTATGCGCTTTTAACAAGGGCAATTTTTTACCCAACTTCTGCAGAGCCAAAAGTAAAGTTTATAAAAGAAACTAGCGACCAGCCCTGCTTCCTCTTGAATCTCATTTCTTTGTACTAATATAATCTAAAGAGAGGTGTAAGAGACAACTATTTGTCTGTGTGGCTCGCTTACTCACTCTCAGGCTGGTTTTAGTGTCACGCGGACTGTCCGTGCGGATCGCTCCGCACAGCCGATCTGTATGAACTGCTAGGGAGCGAGCAGTTCCTCCGGACCGCATTACTCTAAAACGCTCCCTAGAAGTTCATACAGATTGGCCGTGCGGAGCGGGTCCGCACCGGACGGTCCGCGTGACACTAAAACCAGCCTCACTCTTAATTAAGTTCTTTTTTCGTTACAAAATTTCGAGCTAGAGTGTAGCACCTTATGTATTTGTAATAGGTGCTATTTTACTGTATCCAGGAACAAGCGCCCCGCCGTCCCCCGCCCGGGAGCACGACCAAGAAGTCCTGTCCAGGCTCTCCAGCACGGCGGAGAAGCAGCGAGCGACCCTCCGTCACCAGGAGTCGCAGCTGCAGGAGAAGCAGCAGGTTATTGATGGGGTGAGTGAATCTTGCTGTGGAATTTTGGTTGGTTTTGTATAGGAAGAATGGGTTTTAAGGATCAAAGTGGTGTGGGTAAATTTTAACAACCGTCTAATTATAGCGGACACCACAGGGTTGTCATCTCAGACGTCGTAACTCAAGCTTCTACCACACCAAAGCGTGCAGATCGCCATCGCCGCCATCGTGAATGGCGGTTATCACGCCAATTTATCGATTTTGCCCATACAAATTGATGTCGATAAAAGTTATCACGGCGCGCATCTTAGGCCTACTCCACGCGTTGGTTGGTTGAAGCATAACACGATAGAAGATGAAAGTTGTTACCTTATTTAACATGTATCAAATCATTGTTCTGTGTACCACTCAAGCTAAAAAGTACAATTGCTATTTACAAGGCACGAAATGAAAAAAAAAGAACTAAAACCTATCCTAAACAAGTTGTAATTATTTTTGTCAGCATCGCCATTTGCTTAAATACAACTTCAAAGAATTTAATAGATGTCATGTCTGAAACAGCCAAGCCGTTAAGCACGCACGACAAAAACTAAATCTAGGTAAATGATTGCAATGCCATTTTAGTTTTCTCTGTGTAAAAGAGTGATCGAGAAAAACTATTTTAGCATCCAACTCCTTAGTTTTCCACTGATAAATTGTCTTAAGAGCGTTTACGCCGTTTGGCGCAAAAACAGTACTTTTTCAACTCGTTACAATCATTAACCAGTAATACTACAAATATGTTATAGGCATTAATAGTTAGGCAATTTCGTCGTCTAAATAGTTAATTGAGAAAATATTGCGATTAGTTTAGCATTTAAGAATTCTATCAAGATAAGTCCACACAGGTTTTGTAAATTTCCACTTTAGCGTCAGTTTACAAGCTGAAATTTTTATAAAAATACTGTGAAAACGATTTAACAAACCTTTATATCCTATAGCATAGATCCTTGGGCAAATAGTTATCTGAGAAAATTTTTAGATTTAAGCATTCTACAATAAGAAATCACAAATTAAAAGAACGTGAAATACCCAAAAATCAAAGTGATTTTTTCACCAATATTCTTCCTTTATTCAACACAAAAATAGCTTAATCTAATAGAAGAATATCTTATCTAAAATATTTACTTTGAAATTTAAAATAATTCATTGTAATTTTTTTTCTATGAGTATTTGAAAACTACTATAAATCGCCGCGCACGAATCGTTCAAATTCAGTCCGCCTCGAGGCGTTCCAGAGTGAGGTCACGTCGCTCGGTGCTCTGCTGACATGTGTCACGCGTACGTTGATCTTTGACAGGTAGCTGGACTTTTATAGTGTATCCGCAAAATCTTGGTGGTAGATTTTGCGATCACGTGGTAATTAAAATATTTTATTGTTATTTTTCATTACAGTCTATTTTTACTACAAATTCTATTTCAGACGTAATGAAAAATAAAATTAAGTTATTTTTAGCGATGACGTTACAGGGCATTGGAGTTTCTAGATTCAAAATCCACTTCGATAAATGTAAATAATGTACATAATAGAACTACTAAGTCTATGCATATTGTAAAAAATGTGCAATGTCCGTTTTGTACGGAAGGAGGGCATAAACTTAGGTTTTGCAAAGAATTTGCAAGGGAGGCGGTGGAGTCTCGTCGGGAATTTGTTTTAAATAACAATGTATGTTTTAATTGTTTAGGACTCAATCATTCTGCCAAATTCTGTAAATATGTAACTAAATGCCGAATCTGCAAACGCAGACATCATTATTTGTTGCACCCTCGAGGTAATGTACATAGAGGTGTAGGAAACAGAAATGCAAGTGAGAAAGTTAAAAGTTCTGGGTCTTGTTTGTCGACAGGAAATAATAATCAAGTTTTACTGCCGACTGCGGTAGTCAAAGCTATGTCGACCAAGAAGGATAGCATAGAGATTAGAGCATTGCTTGATCAGGCCTCGGAGTCGTCTTTCGTAACTGAAGAAACAGTACGAAGACTTGGGTTGAAAAAGACTCCAATCAAAGAGCGCTTGTCAGGAATAGGTGGGGATAGTTTAGTATCCGAGGCTTTTGTTGACTTGGAGATTAGTTCAAGGATTCATCCAGGGGAGAATTTAGGGGTGAGAGCTTATGTTTTGAAGTCAATAACTTCTCTATTACCATCCCATAAGATAGAATCTGTGCAATGGGCTGAAAGTATGAATTTGCCGTTGGCAGATCCTGGCTATCACACGCCAAATCGTATCGATTTGTTATTGGGAGTAGATGTGTTTAGTCAGGTCTTGCTAGAGGGAGTTAGGAAAGGTCCAAGCGGTACCCCTGTTGCACAACAAACATTATTTGGATGGACTTTGTCCGGAAATGGTACGAAGTCAACTAACAGAACTGATTTTAGGGCTAAAGTTCGATTTAAAGATAGAAGTCAGGTTAGAAGGCAGACTGATTGAATATTTAATAATTATGTCTGGGTTATATTTCAAAAATATTATGCCTTCTTTCTTTAGTATTTTAAGTGGTCATAATGGGCGATTGTCATGGTGGGCGATGTAGTTAAGGACGAAGCTTAGCTCGTCCTTGGTGGGCGATTATGTTAAGAGTTAGTTTAAAGTTCGTTGTTGTATTACTAGATGGCACCACATGTTATGTTTGTGTTTAAGTTTACATAGTTTTACCAATAGATGACTCTTGTATTTTATGTGCAAAATATTAGCCCGCGGTGTCCAGATTTTTTGCCCGGCCTTTAAATATAACCGGGACGCAATAAAGAGTTGAATTCAGTTGACCTCAAGACAGTGTTTCATTCACTAGTAGTTAGTAGTACCCAGTCAGTGGTAGGTAGGAGTGAGTGATAGCGCCTAGGAAGTGCGCAGGGTGAGGGAATTCCACCCTCCTCTATGGGAGGGTTAAACACATCCAATGTTGACCATCATGTCAAGCTTCACTGTGGAATCTTATATCGTCTTTAATAGGTGTTTATTTTGCAACGAAAATGTGTAGTTAGAAGATAGCTTCGTTTTTTATGCATTTGTGTAGCTCTATCAAATGTAGATCATCATTATCTTGACAATGCAATGTTATCTTAATCTCCACTAAAAGAATGCTAGATTCCAAGACAATGCAGTTGAATGCCTGAACTCTTAGACCGCATTGCAACAATGCGCGATGTTTTATCGCTACAAATGATACTATTTCTTTGGGCTGTGTTCCAGCGCTTATCTCGTTACAGCGAATGCCACATCGAGCAAAATATCTTATTATACGGCTTATGGCTTGACGTAATTAACATCGTGGCTCAAAACTTCAAACGACACTGTTTCGGCCGCGAGCCGACGTTCGCATCTGCTTAAATTTGCATTTTCAGTTGTTATGTATTTTGTGTTGCGGATGGCCTTTGAGTCAAAACTTGGCTTGTGATCTCGAAAACAATGTTTTGGTAATGGTTTTAGTCTGGAGAATTAAATGGTTTGTTCTCTTCTATTTTCCCTTGAAACGTTGCCTAACACGTGAATCTAAACAATGCGATTTTTTTTTATCCACAACGCAGAAGCTCTTGGTCTGCATCTCACCTGATAGATAATGATGATCAGGCCGAAGCTGGAAGTGAACTTCATCCGGAATCTTTTGTTAATGTAATTTTAAGTGCATTTAGATGTCTGTCTTTCAAAAAATCCTATTTTATCGTAGGACTTCCACTGGTGAATATATGCCTTCCTTTTCCATTTCCCGAGTGAACTAACTGATAGCCTCATGTCCTTTATCAGGTCGTCGGTCTACCGTGTTGAGATCTCATGACATGTGCTTCATGATTATATCACCAAAAAAAGACCACGAACGTTAAGACGGTCTTTCTCAGAACCCAGTGAATATTCATATAGACATTATACAGCAATATGGTCGTAATGAAGTTGTATTAGCGTCTGTTTTTATTAACGCGCAAACGCACTTAGCACGAACTGCTTAAGTCGTTAATTTCGCTTTACAGATAGACAGGAGAGCTGGCAACTTAATCCGGTCTACAAAGGGTGGTTAATTAACGTCCCTAATTAGAGATTGATTAAAGAAATTCGATTCTGAAATTGAAGGAATTTGAAACTTTTTCTCTGTGTTTAAAGCTCCAGTTCGCTTTATTAATGTGAATAGTTGAAGTTGGAAAATAATCTATGTCTACACAGAAATTCCGATTAAGTAAATAAATCAACTACAAAAGAATACAATATACTTTGGGCATTGTAGCAATGTCACTTGAATGTAATATGGTCTCAATTTGGAGAACCAACAATTTGGTATTTCCCAAATACTTGATGGACCACTTAACCTCTACGTTTTGCTACATTGTAGAGTCGTAATGCTATGATATTATCTGTTTCATGTATCTACTCTTTTTGTAACATTAATTAAAGATTGAACTGTGTCTGTTTTTTGAAAAGGTAAAGTGCCCTTTGTACAATTGACACTTCAAGTGTCAAACATTTGATTCAAATGTCACATTATTTTGTTGTAGGTAATAGTTGCGATATTGCAATAAAATAAGTTAGTCTGATATGTCGGCGAATTATACTAAGAATTTTCATGGTGAATCTTAATACATTGTAAAATCTAGAGTTAAAAATGCCAATTAAATGATACATGCATAGCTATGATCTTTTTAGTCAAATTCATTGTACCTACCTACCTTCTAAAAAGTTAATTTAGTTGCAAGTAATTATTGTGTTAATTAAATTAAAATTTTTCATAATTTATAATTAAAGAAAACGTTATAAAGAATTGATTGACTGTTAACATAAACTGATTGTTAATATATTGTGTCTAGGAAACAGGGAATTTGAAGAAACAAGCAAATGTTAAGACCAACCACAGACTTGAATGAAATTCTTAAATTCATACTTGGTCGTTTCATAATACCATACACTTGTATACAGCCAAAAGTGTAATATCGTCGTATGAAGCAACCCTAATGAGCAGCAATCCAAGCATCGCAGCGGCATTTTTTGTCGTGGATTCGTTTAGACTTAATGGTTT